CGAAATGCATTACTTTTACGAGGCTCACGCGGGGGAAGAATATAAAAGAGCAATTTAACGGAGACAAAACCCGTATGGCGATGGAAATTCACTTTTATTAGCTCGCAGAGTAGACGTAGTAGTTATGCTACAGAGCTAATTCAGACGAGCTATTAGTTAGAAAAGCGCCCAGCAGCAGCACTGCGGCAAGATTTTAAATTCATTTCGTTTCGAGCTGGGTATAGGAGCAGTGATTCGCACTGCCGTATTACACAGTTGCAGCTGGAAAAGTTTTACAGCGTCCCAGTTACGTTTGACCTGTCCCCTGCGCGCGCGACTGCGGAAATAAATTGCGCGCGTCCGTTGTGTAAAACGCGAAGCTTTCTAAGCTTCGGCAAAGAGCTGGCCTCTTATAACAAAGTGCTTTCTCCAGCAGGCTCTTTTGGGCTCGAGCGCGTTTTCAGTTACATCGAGGTAACTTTTCTTCTTTCTCTCATTTATTTTTTCTCTCTCTGGATGTGTCCATGCGCGACAGTGACAGCTACTATATTGCGTTATAATATCTCCTCTTCGAATCTGTTGTACTTCACAAGCGAACGAGGACAAATTGCGCGTATGCGCACATCGTCTTTCATCTTGTACAAACCCGTATATTTTCTCTGATCATAATATATGCACGACGATAACGACGATGAGCGCTTTGTCGCCCATATAATCATCGAGCAGTAGCCGAGTCATCTGCACGTCTAAAGCTTTCTCTCGGGTATCGGCCTTATGGTATATTGCGATACTCCATCCCCTTTTCAGCGTTGCGGATACATTCGATGACCTAATTAAATGCCTGGCTTGGCGCTCACGCCGCTATAACACCGCAAGACCTTATATACGATTCTCTCTCCCAGCCTAATGTATATCTGTAGGTGTCCCAAAGTAGATCGAATTAAGCAAGAGAGCGCACCTGGTTGCACTCGAGCTTTTGACGATAATATCTTCTGCTCCTGCTCTGCGGGTGGATATATACCGTCGCCGTATCCATTTGCACCTTTATTATTTGGCTCTTTCTCACTCTCTCTCTCTCTCTCTCTCTCTCTCTGTGATGTGGTGACAAATTTTTACAAGTATTACACCGTCAAAGGCGCCCGAGAGTAAAATCTTCAAAGTGATCTTGTTTTCCTTCGGTTTCTCGGCTGCAGCTGCTGCCAGCTGCCTTTTGTCGAAAAGTGCTTGATTACGACGCCCTGAAACGCGGAAAAGTCGCGTGCACACACTCACACACACAGCTGCAATATGCTAGCTTACTGCTACTGCGGCTCGGCCTCAAAGGGAACGCGCGCTTCGTGCTGCTTCGTTTTTGACTTCAATTTCGAAGTTGGCAGCGGTTGAGTGAGCTGGAAATCCAAAAAAAGGAAAGAAAAAAATACGAGTAGATTCAAACTTGGCTTACACAGAGCTTTCATTGACAATCTTTGAAAAAAACTTACGAACATAGTATAAAGAAAAAAATTGAATCAAATCGTTGCGCGGATGGAAGTTTATTTTTTCGCGCGTCCAAAATATATGCGCGAATCCGTCTCTGTGCGCTTTTAGCAAACAAAAATTGCTGGATGCAGCGCGCCTACATATAATGAAGCTCGAGCGTGAAAATAAATCCGCGATTCTCGCCGCGTACCAAGAGGTTTTCGTGTTTCGGAAGTTTTCATTCACGCGCGCGCGCGCTCGTGTTATATAACTAAAAATAACTTTTGGAATGCGCGCGCGCGTCAAGACGGGCTGAATACAAAAGTACATACCGACACAGGTCACGAATATAACAGTAGCCAACGACGAGCAATTGTTGAGGCTCATCGGTTCGTGCAATTCTACCTTATGTACGTGCAGCAGCAGAAGTCGTGGAAGTGCAGAATGTTAATTGCAAGGTTTTTTATGTCGGTCGATAAAACTTCCTTCGAGGTGCGATGTACAAATAACTGCCTATTTAAGTTCGCGCGGCGCCGCGATCACGAGCGTGAGGTGATAAAAGTAATCGTCGCCGAGCTTTTGATCGAAGACAGATGTTAATCAAGTTTTCTTCGATATTCCGCGTATTCTGCGTTAAGAAAACATTGTTAACTTTTTTCGCATAAAAAAAAGGTAAATCCCTCTCTCTCTCGCTTGTTTATTTATTCTGCGTTGTACCCATAAAACGAGATTATCGACCCTCTTGAGCAGCACACTCGAGGGAGCTGGAGGATCTATATGTGCGCGCGCGGGGTACGCGAGGTGCAGTCGCTCGGTGGAACATTATTCGCCTCGCTAATTAAACCTCGTGTATACTGCGGCGCTTGTTAAAAAAAATAAAGGCCGAGATTTTTGCCAAATCGCAATTGCAACTCGAACTCGGTTTGTTGAGCAGCTTCTAACCAGAGCGTTTGTATGTATGTATATACGTGTGCACGTGCGAATTCGTTAATTAGCGCTTAAATTAGAGATTAATTTTTTTGAACAAAAGAAAGGCAGAAAAAAGCTCGAGAGAATTGTTCAATGACTCCGTACTTTTATTATTATTATGTTTTTTTTTTGTACACAAAACTTCAATGTACAAACAAGCGCACAACAAACGCAAAAGCTGGAGAAGAGGTTGATAAAAAAGTAGCTCGATTTATATAAAAGTAGAGTAAAAAAAAAACTGGCTCGCTTATATACACAGACAGAGCGGTGGCACTTCATATTGGCGCGCGCGTTGGCAAATGCACGCGCGATCTCGCTCGTTACATACACATATACTGGCTGCAGCTTGCACAAAGGGAGCTTTCATCAATCAAACTTTCGCGTGGAAAAAAGTTCCCACGCTCAATTACACGAAGCGCCCGCGCGCAAGGATGTATTTTCTCTCTCTCTCTCTCTCACCCGGCAAAAATCCCGCGACGTATAGTGTGGCATGTGCAACGAGCCTGCATGTGCGCGCGTGTGTCAAAGCTCCCACGCGCTCACACATGTGCGCACGAGCGAGATCCCGGGTCAACCCTGCGTATACGTGGTACTGCAACGCGAGCACACACGATGTGCGTAATACAACGTATATAGGCCAACTCGTCGTCGCTTTGTGTAAGGCGAGAGCAGCATCATCGTTGCTGCTGCTGTAAGCGCAAAATCCAGTGTACGTGGCGTAAAATGTGTCTGTGCGTGTATTATGGTCGCACAAACGCGTACATGTACGATACATGTATCCATACATGCGCGATGTCGCGAGAAGCGCGCGTAACAAAAGTAGGTCGTTGGCGCTGCAGCACAGCACAGCGCTCGGCGCAGGCCCGTCGTCGCGAGCCATTAAGCTCGAAAAAAGCACGTATCCTCTCCTGTCTCTCGCTCGCTCTTTTTCAGTGCGCGACTTTTTTTTCTCCTCGTTACATACACATATCATTATAACGTGCATAATAAATTCTTGGAGAAAAGCCGGCAGCGAGAGGCTTGGCACGCACACATTCGTCGCGCAGATCCAGCTGGCGGCAATTGCTACATATACAAATTAACGATGATGTGTTGTCGGCGTATATAAATACGAGCACACGGATACGTACGTTCGCTCGGCTGAAGCTCTCCTGTACATCAGTACGAGCCGTGTTTTGCATCTGTGCGCGGCGCGAGCTGAGCAATTACGACTTCATCAAGCGTAGTGTGCTGCAAGCTGCGCGCGTACACGATTTTCTGAAGATGCTGCGGCGCCTGCAGCTACCGCCGTTACTCTAGATTTTATAGCAGCACCGCCTTCTATGTGTATGATGCGGAATCGAAGCTCGTGTGTGCAGTGTATACACGTATACATAGGGGTGTACAGCGAAGCTCCTGATGCCACAGGGAGCTGTCTCAATTATTCCGCTCGACTGTTTTCGATTCGCTCCGCGACTCGTGTATTATGCGTATGTGCCGCAAATATGCACTGAGAAAGCTGGAAACGAGCCTACGTGGGTATAAGAAACTGTATGACATTTATCAGACCCGACTGCTTTATAGTGGGGGTAGATTGATAGGTTACTTGGGTTTAACTAAAAATGAATATCATTTTCTGCATCTTTGTTCCATTACTACCTCAAGTTTTTTCGACGTTCTGATTCATTTCTAAAACATTCCTGATCAATCCCTGCTTGCATCTAACACACTCGGCCTTTTTGTTTGACTCGGGTAATCAAGTCACTTATATAATTGCCAAAAACTCGCTGCGTGCTAGGTACAGTAATTTGACGCAGTTCTTCACGACACAGAAAATTGTGCGCTTGATTTCGGAATATATAACTTCAAAAGCGAAAAAAAAGTCAAGGAGTCAAGGATCCTATCTACATCGCAAGGTGCGTGCGTGAAGCGCTACACTGTACCGCATAGTACTGCATCCCGTCCGAGTATAAGAGGCCTCTGTACATCGTCGAGCACAGAAGCGTATAAAGCAATTTTCTACGGCTTGCGCAATTTCGAGCGCATAGCTCTCCGACGCTTGATACTCTCTGGGCTCGAGTTTCTTTTAACGAGCCGACGACGCGGGCAGGTCAATCGTCACTGCAGTAGTGGCACTTTTTTCGTCGTTGCTATACTCGGAAGCTGCGAGCCGCGCAGCACGTACAGCTCTGCCCCATATATATACCTAGACGCAGTGCAGCGCGCCTATACGATATGACAAAGTAGTTTCGTCGCAATTGCGCCCGTCCGCCTTCAATTAACTTGTGTCTTGCGCGCGCTTGGTGCGATCTTAAAAACTTTACGAGGATCTTTCATCTTGCGATGGTAGCATTGCATATACCTACGCGTTTTGCCGACTCGAGCGCTGACTCTTTTTTTTTTTCTTTTTTCTCTAATTGCGAACGATAAAAGTGTTATTCACGCTGCTTTTTATTATCCACGAGCGCAATAAAACCCTCCCCCGGTATGATGATGAATGAATGTTGCGAGTTTGAATAATACGTCGAATACTTCGATACAAAGAAAAACAGAAAAGAAAAGAAAAAAAAGACGAATCGCTATAGGTAATGGCATTTTATGATTTATGTTCCCAGAGGTGACGATGTACAGCGATCGATCGAGCTGTTGGACAAGGTGCTCTCCGAATACGACGAGCACGAGTCGATCGAGAGCGGAGGAGGTATCGAGGGCGGAGGCGGAGGCGTCGGCGGCAGCTCAGTTGTCGTCATCAGCAGCGGCGGCGTCGGAGTCACGGCAGCCACCTGCACGTCGACGGCCCAGACGACGACGTCAGCAGCCGACAGCAACAGCAACAGCAGCAGCACCGAGCCGAGCATTGGCCTCACGCCGGATGATGAGAGCCCGTCCTTAGGTATACATTACGCGCAATGATATAACATATCCTCGCTTGATAGGAAGAATCATTTGTTGAATCTTTTTGGGACGCGTGGATATCCGTATAGTTAACCCGTGAAAAACCGAGCGAGGGGCAAGAACTGCTCGTCTATGATAGGGTCTTGTATCTCTGTTACTCTTTGCTTGCCTCCATCGTCATCGGGTGTTAAGGAGTTAAAATGATTTACGAAACTCAATAATTAGTTTAAAAGTGGAAATCGAAAAGGGGTTAATAGTTCGATTAAAAATTTAGAGAATCATGTATGTTAACGCATATTAATGTGTACTTGAAGTGTACTTTACAACACGAGTTTTTCAAAAAATTATATCCGGTTCTTGTGAAATTTAGTTGAAATTTCTCTTCTTACGGCTATGTACTTGATTATTAGGTTCCAAAACAGTTATATTTTTGTAGAAAAAAAAGAATAATTATTGCAATATTACTTATTGCAATGAACGGTATCATATTTGATTTTGAGATTTCTGATTCCACCAACAGATGGAGCATCGTAAATCCACAAGTGGCAAACAATTTCTGATTATATATAGGTGCATAGCTTCTGATTCCGAATTTAATTGATCCTTGTATTGATGATAGAGCTATTTTTTCCGCAATCTTAGACAAATTGAAAATTAGGCTTAAAATAACAAATGTATACATATGAATACGGGAAGGAGCTGCTGGTCCACTTAGTCTTTACCTGTTCGGAAATTCGAGCTGCCTCCGAGCTGCTCTCTACACAAACTCGAGCAATGATGTATGCTTTCATGCACGCAGCTATGTATAGAGGCCTTTTGTGTACAAGCCTGTTTCGAAAGAACAAATTTTACCAAAGTGCTGTTACTATATGATTAGAGACCCAAATTTTCGAAACCATGTTCACTATCAGTTTTCATAATCAGTATGAGAATGACTAAATCGATGAATTAAGATTACTGAAGCCTACTTTCGCGTGACAGTGTTTAATTTTCGTTTTCAAAATCGTTCCCCTCTCTGAAACGTTATCAAAGAGAGAACACGTGTTTATCGGGGTCTTTGCTTGTACTCACTCGTGGCCACATGCTTCTCTCACTTCATAATATTATACGGTTCGTTGAAAATAATAAAATGAATTGCTTATTGGAACTCCTTGAGTTAGTTTAGGCTGTAGCAAATGAATTAAAATTCTAACGTGCTAATGATTCACCGCACTTTCTCTAAATAGCGATAAAATTTGGCTTTCTTATCGTACCTACAATAGTTCACGTAGAATATAAAAGAGTGAGAAAAATTTTTTCGATCAGTAGCCTATTCGCATTGATCGATCATCGCTCAACGACTCGCTCGAACGTTTTAAGAAAATCAAGAACTGAAAAACTCTACGCATTGAATACTTTTGTACATCCTTCGATCCGGCAGCATTAACTAGTCAAAAGGAACTTTACATTGGCCAAATGCAGTTTTGTGTTACCCAACTTGTCCCTGTAAAATTTGAAAGAGGGACAGGTTGGGTAACACAAGATTGCGCTTGGATCTTATGTTGTGTCATTAAAATAACCCTTGATCAGCAGCAACAGCCAGTCAAAAAGACCTTGCATTGGCCGAATTCAGTTTTGTGTTACCCAACTTGTCCTGAAAAATTAAAAAACAGGACAGGTTGGGTAACACAAGATTGCGCTTGGATCTGTGTTTTGTTGTTCAATCACCCCTCAAATAGGTAGCAATAACCAGTCAAAACAGAGATCATCGTTGGCTGAGTGGGTAAGGCTCTTGCCTGCTAAATACAACGAGGTGCCGAAGGGCTCGGGTTCAAATCCGGCCAGGGGCAATCATTTCAGTGATTTTTCATCTTGCGGAATTGGAACTCGGGTCTGAAGTGGTTCGGAATTACACTATAAAGTGTAGGGTCAGTTGAGGTGCGTTAACGCATCACAAATACAGGAACAAAATTATAAAACAAATAAAACAAGCTTGCACTGTGACAGTTCGTGAATCCAATAAATACTAGACTCCAGGTCTAATAAAAGTACTAGAAAAAGAAGAAGAACCAGTCAAAACGACCTTCAATTGGTTAAATTCAATTAAGCGTTACCCGTCTCGTTCTGAAAAATGTGGAAGAGGGAAAAGTTGGGTAACGCAAGAGTGCGCTTGGATCTTGTGTCGTGTCATTAAAAAACTCCTCGAATCGGCAGCAACAACCAATCAAAAAGACCTTACATTGGCCAAATTCAGTTGGGTGTATCCCAACTTGTCCCGTAAACTTTGTATGAGGGACAAGAAGGGAAACACAGAATTGCGCTTGGATCTTGTGTTGTAAGGTGAGGCCGAAGCCTCGTTTTTTACCGACCGAACTTTGGAAATGAAAATTTAAATAACTTTTTTATTAGACCGATTTTCGAAAAACGGCTCTGCGAAGCCCTCTGTATTGATGCTGGGATAAACTATGCCAAATTTCATCCCATTTCATTCAATAGTTTTTCTTGAAAACGGGATCGAAATTTTTAAACTTGAAAACCTAAATAAAAAATTTCGATCCCGTTTTCCGAAGAAATTATTGATTGAAATAGGATAAAATGTGGTAGAGTTGTTCACAGCATCAATACTGAAGACTCTACAAAGCCGATTTTAAAAATTCGACTTGGAAAAAAAGTTATGCAAATAAAAATTTTTTAATGCTCTGTTGGTCAAAATCCGGGCTTCGGCGTCACCTTTAATATTGTAGGTTTTCCATTTCATTCGAACAGATAAAAATCGTAAAATGAATTTGAATTTTTCTATTGATAAATAAAAATATTTTTGTAGGAAAATATCTTAAATTTTATCTTTATTACCATGGCACCTAATCGAGAATAAAGTAACACTTACGAAAAGGCGGTGCCAATGTCAATTTCGTTAAAAAAGTGTGTGGTGAACAGAAGTGAACAATTACACACTTCCATTACCTCGCTGACGTTTCACCGACCTCTTTGTCGACCTCTTCAGGACTCAACTTCCATTCACCACATACTTTTTTAATAATATTGACATTGGCACCGCCTTTATTACCGTTTTATTTCTGTGACACATACGAAAATAAAATTTATAAATATTTACTTATAAATGATATCCCATTTTGCATTTGAAAAAGTTGAAACATTCGGACAAAGCGCGATTATGCGAAAATATTCGAGTTCACTCGAATTTCCCTGACTCAAACTCAAAAAATCGGGCTCTCGTACACCCTCAGTAAAAACGAAGGACAATGGAAGCTGAAGCAACAGCAATAAAGACACTATACTGGCGCGCATAGCTTCTTCGAGTGCCATGCACGTTTTTGCAGATTGCAGGTACACATTCCCGGAAAAAGGAGCGATATAACGTCGCGGGCGTGCATCGCGCGACGAATTCGAGTCTCTCCGCTATAAATTCAAAGCCACGCGCGCGTGCAGAAGTAGCGCGAACATCGATTTGGCAGCTAGCCCCTCGCTGATCGGCGTCGATGAATCGATTCCACTTTTTTTTTTACTTTTGGACACGCTTGAATTTTCCCGACGAATATCTTTGAAAAAAAAGGGAAGATTTTGAATACCGAGAAGACGACGACGACGACGACGCGCGGAGCTTTTCCATATTATAGAGATATATATTTTAAGCGTGCGTGGCGCTCCCAGCAGCAGCTACTCTCTCGAATGAATAAAAGATTATACAGCCGGCGCCCGGCGTTCGTTGTCGTCACCGGTTATACTCGCCGGTTCTATATAGATACAGAAAAGCAGTAGCAGCCACGCGCGCACGCAGCTGCACCGAGTGAGACCGAGAGAGAGAGAGAGAGATGACAAAAAGAAACGTTGCTTAAAAATCTCTTTTTTGGACTTTTCTCGATGTACGTGCGCCAACGCTCCTCGAATTGCTCGCGAAAAAGGAAGCAAGAAAAAGAGAGACAGAGATATCCAACCGACGAGCGCTGGTTTTTCTTATCGCGCGAGCTCGGAATACCACTTTGCGTTGAGCGATCTTGGGTGCAGTTTTTTTTGTTGCTTTCTACAAAACCCCCATACACAGATCGGTGTATATAGCGCCGTTATTTTTTACCACGTCAGTGTCACTGACTTAAACGCGAGTTAAGTCCTCATTTATTATGAATTTTTGCTATTTTACATTCCGCGCTTATATTCCTCGAACTTTTTTCGTTTCCCCCCTTGTTTTTCGTGCTTTGTTTAACGGAATTTCGCTCTCGGCTTTTATTTTGTTTCGTTATATAATAACTTTATTAAATTTCAACAAAGAAAAGAGACGACGTCGCGCGACCGCGAAGCGCGGAAAACTTTTTTTTTCGCCGTCGGGGTATATATCTGCACTTAATCCTCTTAATCCTTCTTCTCCCTCGCTTTATAATCCTTGTTTTTAAAACTATATACGAATGTGTATAGGCGAGCTTTTTTTGTACTATATATGTGAATTCGCAATTTCAGGGCATCAATCTGAGGACGACGGATACATGAGCATGAATGGTAGAAAAGCGAAAATGGCGTTGGTAGCATTACGTCCGGTACCGGATTGCCCCGAATCTCAGGATCAGAACGGCACTCCCGCGCAGGAATTTCCTCCACCACCAGAAGAAGCTGAACGAATAATCTCCACTCTCTTACCGATGTAAGTATGACGATGGCTCTTAGTTGTGGGCCTTGAAATAAAATAAAGTTTCATCGTAATAGTCAACTTTGTACGCGATCGTACGATTTTTCCTCTACTCACTGCGCCTAGCCCTCGCCAACCCCAATAATGACAATAAGAATACTTTCAATTAATACCGAGGGCGGCGCGCTCGCAGTGCGCGAATCGAATTAAAAGTTTCGCGCATCGCGAGTTCATTTTATGGAAATGCTCTTATCTTGCGAGGCAGAGCAGTAGAAAGCCAGGTCTAAGCAGGTATATACGCGAGCTGCTCTAAAGTAATTTGCGCAAAAAGCCAAAAGCTCTCGAAGTAAGAGCGTAACCAATTCTCTCTGCGCGAGGCCTCCGGACAATCGGTATGGTGTGGTGCGTGTGCCTGTATATACGTATAGATTGCTTGATTGCGAACAATCAAAGTTTGCCTCTTTCTGTGCGCTATATAGATGCGTGAATCGTCTGCCTCTATTGTATACGCACACACACGCACGCGTAAACTTGTTACATAGTATAAAATATAGGAACGAAAGCTCGGCACGCGTCAGCTCTGCATTATGCGTGCGCACTTTGATTCAAACTGAAGCACAAAGCGCAAAGGAGCGAAAGAAGAAGAAGAAGAAGAGGATCCCTCGCTTTACCTCGCGGTATACTCCAGACTAGCTACTACCGGGGCGTCGTCGAGGCTCGCCCTCGCCGCTGTCTCGGAAAGTAAATCAATCGTCTGGACGGGTGCCGATAAGGCTTTTAAGATTGATTCACGGCGGGCGTGTATTTATAGAGCGTTGCGTATACGATCGTTGTGTATAACGCGTACTCTCTTGAACGGAGCTTTTGATTGTTCTTTCGCTCGAATGCTTAGAATTTTTTTATCGCCACCGAATTTTAATTATAAATTTTCAAGATAATGCCGTATGAAAAATGATTTTTAAACAGTTTGCGAGTGGGCGGTTGAAGCCACGTATTGCGCCACAAGAAAAAATATCTATTAAATCATTCGCTTTCTCGCCTCCCGTAATTGAACGTATATTCGCGGCTGCCAAGAAAAAATTTACGTGAACCTTTTTCAACCGCCTGTACGATTCGATGCGTCTTCCGTGACGTTACGAAGTATTCGGCTCGCTATACTCATTTTAATAACAAAAAAAGAGAAGAAGAAGAAAATCCCGCACCGATATAAATCATTTCTTCTGCCGCTATCCGATGCTGCCTAGCTTGCTGTATACGTAAGAAATCTAGTAATGGCATTCGGACGACAAATTGCGAGCACATTTTTATGAAAAAAAAAAAATGCCCGTCGTCTGCGAGTCATCGCGGTGGCGACGTCGGCCAGGCTTTGACTTCGGATGCTTACGCGATGGTATACATGTAGCGATCGCCCAATCCCTTGCATCCTTTGTCCGCATCATAATTACCAATCCAATCGCATTCAGTCGGTCGGAAGCGGATGCTGTGCGTAGCTCCGCTGGGAAATTCATAAATCGGCTTCTCCCGGGCGGACATGACGACGTAGACGTATACCGGCTACGATGAAGAGCTCGCAGAAGCTCGCTACGTACGGACGCCAGAGAGACTTGTGCACGAGATGCATGTACATGAACAATTCTAAGAAAAAATTATTGAAATACGAGGCCCAAATCGCGGTTGAAATTTTTCACTCGACGCGTGTAATGAACTTGATAGGCAATCTGCCGTTCTATTTTTGTGTTCCATAGGTCAAAAACTGGGGTTTTCCCGTAAATATCCAGGTTTGACATTACCAAAATTATCCCAAACGCTCTCTATTTTTGGTACATTTTAAACTATCAACTAGAATAAACGTAATTAGAACAATTATCAACGTCGATTTAACGCGTCAAGTGACAAACTTTTAAACCTCAATTTCAGTCTCGCATTTTAAGGGTGTTTTTAAGAGTTGCTTTCATATAATTATATTATAGCGTGCTATATATTTTGAATCGACAGAAACTATAAATCGGAAACATCTATATATTACCAAGTTAAACATTTGCTCCGTAAGTAGTTACTTCGATTTTATCAGACTTTGTACGGAAGTCGAATCAATAAAGTACCAAAAAGCTATAAATGTAAAACATGATATTTAATCCTTCGTGTGTTGTTACACGCGTTGTTAAGGCAAAACTAAATTAGAAAATGAATAAATTTGTTGGTTTCTCAGTCCTTCACTGCTTATACGTACCTACTATACACGTATACGTGCAACGATAAGTCAAAGTCGGAAAAGCAAGCACGCGTTTCACGCGCGCGTATATATATATTATTATTAACTCTCGCGTACAACAGCGGCGCACTTCTAACATTTCTGAAACTTGTTTACAGGGTTTCTCCGGGAAACTCGACGAAGAGAAGCGATCAGAAGCAGCAACAGAGACAGCAGCAGCAGCAGCAACGTCAGAACGGCGGAGCTGGTAGCCAGAAGCAATGGATAGCTCACGGCTTAGACGATCCAAAACGCTCGGGACAAGCTGTCACCACGCAAACCACCCTTGTAAGTTGCAGCGGCTCCTCGTCCCGAAATTATCAATCCGAGACTCCCGGGCGCGATCTCTCTCGACGCATTTAAACAGTTTTCCCTCGTGATTGATGATTTCAAGTTTCAGGGAGAATCTTCTTGGGAAAATTTTTTATTTTTTGTAAGGAAATCAATCTCTAGGGAAATACCAAGGGGGTGATACAATATGTATCAGGAAGATTTCCTTTTCTCGGTGAAATTAAAATTATTGAGAAATTATAACTTTCCACGGCGTTCGATGAATTTTGTAATTTGATAACATAGAATTTTCAGGAACAATTTATTTCAAGTGATTTTATTAATTAGGCATTCCGAATCCATGAAAGTAATTATATACTACTCCAAGAGATGCATGTTTTCATTCGTACTCAAAATTTAAAGTCGTGCGATGTAGCTTTTATATAATTACACGGTAATGAAACGAACGAAAAAAATGTGCTATTAATTAAATCACATCGAGCGAATAATTGACTCCTTACGCTCGATTAAAAATGAACATTATTATATTGTCATAATTATTATTGCTAATCGAGCGCTTTATCAAGGCTACGTAGTTAATTGAAAGCCAAACATGGAGCTTTTGCATTCATTTTTTAATCAACGTTCGTTACTTTCGAATAACTTACGGTTCGAAGCGAGATTTATAATTTTTTCAGCAAACTCGACGTCGAAATAATGATAAATAAGGCACGAAATATGTCAATATGTATAACCCTTAGCGTATCCCACGTACACACCGACTACACACATACACCGCATAATGCGTAAATTCCGTATATGCAAGCTCGACGGGTGTGCGCGCGCCTTAATTTATTATGCGTGTCTCGCTCGTGTGCGGTTGCTTTTAGCCTGGCGCGAGCTGCACACGCAAACACACATTTTCCTGCCGTCATCGAATACGAGACTTTATTATTGGGCGGCCGCGTTGAGCCGTGTACACGCGTCGCATGCGTATACCTGTACACACGAAACAAATGTCCGTGATACGCCACGCGCATTATGGAAAGCCGCAAGCTCACCCACCCGCATATGCATACCTATAGACCGTCGTACATCGGTTCCTTATATCGATGCGGTCGTGCATATACGACGTTTTTTCTTGAAAGCTTTTCCTCGTCTGGATGAAAAAAAAAAGAAGGGAGGTAGTACACGTTTAGGACCAACAAAGTGATCTCTTTTCCTCTAGCTCTTGTCCTCTCGGTTCTTTTTTTTTCCTCTTATATACTCTTTACGCACGCCTTGTGTCTCGCATATTGTTCACCATGGGCCGCGTCGCGACGCACACACACACACAATAGGTTTGAATAGAGAAAGGTTTTTCTTATATACGCTGCGAATGCAGCTCGACGTATATATTGCCGCACGCAGTCTTCGAGAAATCTTTTAAAGAAGTACTTCGATGTATCTTCGCTCGAATGATTTCCGTAATGAAAAAAAATAAAGGGAGATTTGTCTCGTTTTGAAGAATATAGAAAAAATTCCAATACACCTCACCCGTAAAGTATAACGTGCGTTATGACAAATTTTTCTCTTTCATTGCAGCCGAAAACGAGGCATCAGAGGCCGTACGGATGGGAGAACGGCGTGGGTTACACGGGTCCCAACGGGCCCAACAACGGTGGCAACGCCGAGCCGTTCCACCTGGCCGAGCCGCCGAGTCCGCCGAGCAAGTTCGCCAGTCTGCCCCTCGACGGCAAGCTGAGCTTCAATTGGGCGCCGGCCAGGCAGCAGCAGCAGAATAACTCGTCCTTGTCGACGCCTCAAGAGCATCAGAACAGTACGACGGACAGTAGTAGCAATAAGCGTCGCAGAGACTCGTCCGAGGACGGCCTCGAGGATCTGCGACAGTCGTCCGAGGACGGACTGGACGAGGAGGACGAGGAGAACAACGACGACGACGAGGAGGCCGAGGACGAGAGAGAGGACGACGATGACGACGACGATGTGGAGGACGAGGACGAGTCGAATCGACCTAGCCCCGAAAAGGAGCGAGCGTCGTCGGTTCACAACAATCATCACCTACATCATCACCATCACCATCATCATCACATCTCTCGGAGGCCTCCCCGACAGAACGAGATCATCAAATCGAATAGGTAATCATATTTTTACAAATCCAATTAGCGTTTTTTTGTAAACGTAACTATAACGTTCTATTTTTTCCCTGCAGCGTGGAGGACCATCTACTGATGAACAATCATTTGGAATCTCGCGTCAGCGACGCCGGCAGCAATAACGGCTGCACGAACAACGGTTCGAGCTCGCGCTCGGAGCACCACTACCAGCAGCGCTATCACCATCATCAACCGCAGCATCAGTCGCAACAGCAACCACATCATCACAATCACAATCACCAGCAGCAGCACCATCATCACGCGTCGTCGACGCATCGCTCGGCCTCGTCGACGGCCTCGGCGCACCACTCGGCTCGCAGTCGCTGCCGCAACAACTCGGACTCGTCCGACGGCGGTGTCAGCGGCCGCGGCGTCGGCGGTGGCAGTATCGGCGTCGTCGGTCGCTCCTGCTACTCGCGCGCCAACAGCGAGTCCGAGAGTCGCTCGTCGATGCCGCGCTCCACCTCGGCGAGCGTCGAGCGCTTCAGCATGCGCGCCAACTGCGACTCGAGCGACTTCTCCCGGGCCAACAGCATGTCCAACGAGCGATTCCACTCGGACTTCTCGCTGGCCCGGGCCAGCGTGGCCAGCTCCAACGATCGAGTGAGCGTGCCGACCTCCGAGCCCTTCTCCATGCGCAATCTCGACTTTGTGCCGTTCAGCCTGGGTAGGTCGGAGTCGAGCGAGCGCTGCTTCTCGGGCCTCGCGGCCTCCGACAGGTACTCCGAGGGCCGCTGCTCCGAGGTCTTCTCCACGCGCTGCTCCGAGTTCTCGACGCGCAACTCCACCGACTTCAGAACGCAGTCCGAGGAGGAGCACTTCTCCGACGACTCGCTGGAGGAGCTGCTGCCGCCGCCACCGGCCGTGAGCAAGAGACACAGCATCGCTTGGGAATTGACGCTGGACGACGAGCCGGTCTACATTCCTGGCAGTACCAAAGTCGTCGGTAGACGCAGAAGAAAGAGCAGCGACGTGTCGAGTAAGATATCCATTTGAATTCTTCCATTTATCAGTGTCGAATTTCGTAACTAACGATTCGTTCATTTCAGGCGTGGGCTCGGCATCGAAGCTGCGGGACTTCGACGATTGGCAGGACCCGCGAGTCTCGACGACGGACGACGACCTGATCTCGCCGTACTCGGACTCGTCGTGCAACGACCTCGACCAGATACGCCCTCAGGACTTGAGCAAGCACGGTACTTACGTGATCCGCAAGGGTCGCAAGCGGGAGCGCAAGCAGCTCCCGCCGCCCAGCAGCAACAAGTCGCCGAGCAAGAGCATCGACGACGACGACTACGACGACGAGCGACAGAACGGCACTCACGGCATCGCGGAGGTCAGGCGCTACTCCAATACCTTCGACAATCTCAAGAGCTTGCTGAAGGAGTCGTCGAATCACTTCGACGTCACGTGCTCGCCGCCGAGCGAGTTCGCCAATCAGACGTCCTCGCAGCCGGACCTGTTGCACATGGTGCTGGACGATCCGGCGGACGACAAGCGCAGATCGGTCATACACGTGGAGCCGTCGGCGCCCATGGAAGAAGCAGCTGCCGCAGTCGTGGCAGCGATAGAAGCCAAAGTCGAGAAGAAGACGCTGGAAGAAGTGGCGAGCGACAGAGGAGGAGCGGCGGATCAGGTGAAAATAACGAGCTTCGCCGAGCGGCCGAGCGAGTGCAACGGCATCACGATCATGAACCTCGAGCCGCCGAAGGCGCTGGACGATTTGCCGCAAACGACTAATGCGCGGCACTCGCTCTACGAGCCGAAGCAGCTCGACGAGAAGAGCGCCAAGGAGGCTATAAGCGAGAACCGGCGCCAGATCGACCTGATGAACGAGGCCTTGAAGGAGCTGGACAGCGCCGAGTCCGAGGCCGTGGCTGCAGTCGCGGCCGCCGCGGCGACCAATTCCGGCAGTAGACGTCACTGGCGCTCCAATGGCTCGAAGCGCAACAGCTTCGACGGCGAGGGTGTCAGCGCCAATGGCATCAGTAGCTGCGAGAGAAGACGAGCCGATTACGACTCGAGTCGCAGAAGACAGCTCCAACAACCGCCACCGCCGCCTCCTCACGCGATCGACGTTACCGATGCTGTGAGTGCTGGTGGTGCCGGAAAATCGGCCAGCATCGAAAGAGCCTCGGTCGAGCGGAGACGCCTCAATGGTAGAACCCGAGAGCTCGATCTGCACAAGAACGACACGAAACAAATTGAAAATGTAATCGACGCGATACTCGAGGATTCTAAGAAGCCCGATTTTCAGGTAAAGCTTTGCTTTTTCGTACTTTACTGTTTCTCAAATTTCACTTCGCAGTCTAACTCCTAATTATCTTTCGTAGGTGAGCGTCGAAGTGCTGGAATTCCCGCCTCTTCCGCCGTCGCCCGTCGAGGAGGCCGACGAGGAGAGCTCGGACGTCGGTGGTTCCGGTGGCTGCAACGGCACGTCGTCGTCCGCGACCCGGGACACGACGCCGAAAGTGCCGAAGGTGCCGCCACACGCGAATCGCACGATGGAGTACAGACCGCGCGTACCGCCGCATCGAGGCATTAGCCTCGACTCGTCCAAGGAGCATCACACGACCTCGCTCAACACGAGGTCCATGGACGCCGGTTACGCGCGCGGCCGTCGAACAGCCGCGAGCATTGCCAATGCTCGACGAGAGGTTGGTATAACAACCATTGCCCGATTTGTAATTTGAGGCTAATGTGAGCTTGGCATTCGAAATTTTCTGTCATTCTTTAACGTACAAATGCACTCAGCGTTATTTATACTGGATGTAACTTCTTCGTGTCAGAAACATGTAGTTCGGTTGTCGCAGACAACCAAAAAAGTAACCGAAGCAATTGTGGCTTTTGTTTCAAGCATACATGTAGAGATCGCCAGAGCGTAATTTATTCCATGTAATCACGGTAACTTGACTGAGAGAAAAAAACGTTGGTATTTTATTGTTGTCGTGCAAACGTTTACCGAGAAGCTTTAATCAAGAACAGAGTAGAAACAGGAAAAAAACGAGAAAAGAACCAAAGCAGACAACGACGAAGTGTGAGAGAAAAGCTCTCGAAGACGCGTCTGTAGTTTTGTTCGAAAGTAGAGAAAGAGGGCATCATTGCAAACTGTTACGAACGAGAAAAGAAACGGGAAAGAGAGAGTAAAGAGAAAGATGGTAACCCTCTTCTGTCAGAGGGACAACATTTTTTGAAACTTTTCGAGCTTCTGTTTGAAACAATGATGAATAAAGAAAAAAGTATCAAATCTTGGTGGTGGCACCGGCTGAATTTTTCGTAGTAAAATTGAGAAGTGCGCGCGGTGACTTTTTATGCTCCTCCTCGCGCACGTATTAGCGCGCGCGGACTCGGGTTCGCTCGAGGTTGAGATATCTTGCTGATCGTAAAAACGTAAGCGGGTATTTACCAGAAAATTCGAAAATATCGTAATACTTCATAAGTTTTTTGATAAAAGAATTCCATTATTCATTTTTACTCTTATCGAATTCTTCTAAAGAAAAGAATGGAATCTTGTTCATCTTAAAAAATATGCGCCACGGTATGACGAAGTTTGCATTCGCACGAACTTATGCACAATAAAAAAGAGAAATATAAAAAGCAGGGGGGAGGAAGAGGTACAAAGTTGAAATTACGATTTCGAGTGTGTAGTTCTTTTATGCTTATTTTTATTGAAAGGAAAAAAAATTATGACGAGAACGTTTCTCAACCAGCGCATAACTTCAATTTATTTCCGTTTCTTACACATTCAGCTTTTTGTATTGCGCCAAGAAGTGCAAAATTTTAAAAACATACTTCACATTTTTTTTATTCGAATCCCCGTTGAAACAAAATAATATGAAAGTCGTGAATAAAATTTCCGAAAAAATAAAAATTTCATCATTTGCGATTGTTGCGCAGTAGTTATGGCACAACAAACTTCATGCCAACAATAATATATATTATAATGATCTCGTGATGAATGAGGCTACGTGCGAGAAAAAAAATTTGTATTTTTCGCCTTGCTTAACGTTTTGTGCGCGCGACTTGCGGCGGCTCATATAAAATATAGCCACCCTTGGGTTTTCGACCGCAGACCCATTTCTCAAGATACGCGCGAGGGCTTATCTCTCTCTTTCTCTCTCTCTCTTCTTCACCGTTATTTTTCTTTCTCTTCTTCTTATTTCTCGGCGTTTCATAAAATATCGTTGACTCTTAGATTAAGTAAATTGACCTTTGTAGATCTTCATTTGTAACGTTTGGATTAAAATCTCGGGATAAAGCATTATTTAAAAGACACCCATCGATAGATTCGCCACGAACGATTGATTTTATTCTCTTTTTCATTCCACAAAACAGCAGGTGCCGGTGGAACGAAGGACACTCCCCACAGATCTACCCGGGCCGTCTTCGCGTCGTCACAGGCCGTTCACCAAACGCCTGTCGCCCTCGACGGAGGCCTGCACACCCGGGGGCAGCGGCAGCGGCAGCGTCGTCCAGTCCGGCAGTGTGGTCGGCACTACGAGCTCGGCGAATGGAGGCGGGGGCGGTATGCAGACCAGCTGTTCGTTGCCCGAGACGCCGGTGTTCGCGCGCGGTAGTGACATTCCCCGGACGCCGCAGCACGCCAACAATATAGGCGCGCCGACGACGCAGCCGCGCAGAGCGGCGCCCGGATGGTACGCGCCCACTACTGGAACCGGCACTGGGTACGCTCCTCGATCATCTGAAATCTTCATTTAAACATTTTAGACAATTACTGACTTTGATATTTTATTTTTCATATCAGTTATCGACGCAACAATCCAGGCCTGGAGCAGGCCATCATCGGCACGGAGCTGCTGCGACTCGCCGGCGGACCGGGACGCGGTTGGTACCCGACGCGCAAATCGAATCAGCCGCGGCCCGCCTCGATCGAGCACCTGGAGCGGCTCAACGCGACGTACGACTCGCGCATGTCGGCGGGCACGGAGCCGCGCAAGCCGCTCACCCTGCCGACCAACATCACGCCCAACAAGTACTTCGGCCAAAGTAAGCACAACACGTCGACCTCGACGACTCGCGAAGCTCTCAGGAGGGTCACTAGCTTGCTCATCAAGAAAGGTAAGTGTCGGGGTATAGGGTGCGGATACGAACAAAATGAGCTTCGCGTACTCCTGAAGAAATCGACAGTTATCCTTTGATTCATATTCCATTGAAAATTAAAAACGCAAAACTCGATGTCTAACGAGACTTTGTCTCTCGGATTCACAAATGAATCATACACTCCTGACTTCGCACTTTTCACAAAAAGCCTAATGTACAACATCAAAAATGTATAAAGTCCTATCGTAATGTTTCATGAACTTTTTGTACCTAATTAGCCTGTAGAATGTAAATAATTCAATTCAAAATCATCAGTCGAGTTTTCATAATCCAAAACGATTCGTGTTTCTCCATTGTAATATACTCATTATAGATAATTCAATGAAAACCATTAATCAAAAGACTTGTGTTTTGAAAATCGAACATCTGGGAAACCTCGTTGTGGGATAAATAACTACCTCTAGGTAGCTATGTTATCGGCATGCATTTTGACATTATGTACTTTTTATACAAATTTTCATTCATCACTTTAAAAACTAGAAAAGCTCTCCATGTGCTTCACACACATAGAATCATCATCACATCATTTTTTATTATCTTATTAAAGTCAGACAAAATTCATAACATTAAGTAACGACGATCGACTCGGGTACGTACACACATTTTTTCCTCTATGTCTCCTAGGTAAATCATCGTCATTCCGAATCAAAATTCATTCATATAGATCATTCATGAGCTAGTGTGCTGTTTCACCCTTAGAAGCACCGCATGTGTCATTATTTTCTCTGTATAAAAATATTTAAATAATAAACAATCGAAATTCAATCGACAAAAAATGTTAACTATTTTATCTTGTCTTGATTCGGACGAAAGCTCATCGGGTACGCCGCAAGCGCGAATATCCTCGCAAGATAAGTTAGAGCTCGATCGTCTCTGCGCTGCGTGGTGGCAGCACTTTTTGCGCTTGCAACGATCGGCTCGGCATCGTGGCGCTATCTGTGCGTAAAACCATTCAACTCGCCGGAAGAACCGACCAAGATCATACACACAAACATTTTTGCATGTGTGCGCTCGTATAGAGAAAACAAAAAAAGAAATAGCTAGAAGAAGCCCGAACGAAGTAGATCGGATCGGTAGAACTCTATATAGATATATAGAGTTCTCCGCGACGACGACGACGACGACCTTGAAAGAGCGGAAAGCATCGCGGAGAGAAGTCCAAGAACGTTACTTGAAAAGTATGTTATAACATCGCCAGCTACAGGCCTTGACGGCTCTGTACATACAATGTCGCATAGAGTAAGCCGTAAGGGCGCTTCGGAGCAAATGAATCAGAGAGAATATGATCAACTATGCCGTCTAGTATTATTAACATTTGCCAACACTTGTATCTTTCCTCTCTTTTGCGGTGTCGGCGGCTGCTGCTGCGGGCAGAGCAACTCAGTGTGCTAAACACACGCAGACACACACACACTGCTGCACACGGCGTGGCAGTCGGTGGCGTCCTCCGCGCGTGCAGCGCTTTTCGATTCTCCGCATTCGCGAGAACTCCGTTTCGGCTCGAGAAAGAGAGAGAGAGAGAGAGAGAGAGAGTGTGTCGTTTTTCGTATACATGTATCTACGCGAACGCACACAAACTCACGAGCAGAGCGCTGTACGTTCGTTTTTTTTTCTTTCCTCGAGATCCCAACTGTACTGAGTCATCGGTTTTTTGGACCGTGCGCGTATTATTATATTATTATAGAAAGTCCCAGAAAGCCTCGTGCAAACACGTGTAAAATTCGCACTATTTAACGGGCGCTCGGGCAATAGGTTATTCTCTGCTGCGGCTGCTCCAGACTCTTCCTCGTTCGCCACCGCATGCTGAGTCGAGATGGAAAGAGAGAGAGATAGAGGCGATTAAGTAATCGCGAAACGCGTACATTACATATGACTTCACCGGCTTTCGGCCAACAGCAGGGGAAGTCGGGTTCGCGCGTGTTACTGCCAGTCCGAAAGTTGTGTGTGCTTGTGCGCATGTATGTGTGCGTGTGTGCTTTTATACGAAATCGATGGGCTAGCTCTGCTCGCATGAGTCACACCGCCGCGACGTGAGTCCCTTATATACACGCACTCACAGCTGTACACCTCTCGCATATGGGGCAGTTGTAATTTTCCATCTTCCTAGATTTTACTAGAAAAAATAATATCGCTGCTGCCGAATAAAATTGATTTTCCGCGATGGACAATCGTAATCGCGTTTGCGAGAGATGATTTTCGATGACGCGATGTATGATATACGAATCGGCAGCGGCAGCGCAGGTATATAGCATATTATAATCGATGCGTGTGTCGGTGACTCACTACACTTAGTCAATTTATAGCTTATTTATACTTTTATCGCGAGATTCGAAAGCAGCGGCAGCAGCAGTTCGAGTCATAGTCGCTGCAGTTAACTTATGTACACGCGTGCGTCGTACAGCTGCTCGATTCGTTTATTATAATTATTATTATATTGTAAGCCGATGAAGCACATAATGTCGCCTCGCGCGCTCGTATAAAAAAAGTTCTCAAGCTTGGAAGCGTCAAATTGAATCTTTGAATTCTCGATCAATTGCAGCGAGTAGTAATACGAATTTTTTTTCTCGTTGCTCGGCCCTATATATATTAATCGATCCATTCGCGTCTGGTGCTGAATAAAGAGAGAAAGAGAGCACTATACATGCGATATACAATATACGTATCCTCTTCCTCGTCGAAAGATAATAGATACCACGGCAGAGCAGGTATATATATAATACACATATTATTGGATGTTCCGGCGCAGCTAGTAGAGCTTCAAATGAGAGAGAGAGAGAGAAAGAGGCAGTGTATACCGGTCGTCGCAGAGTTTATACCGGCGGATAATGCCGCATGTACAGCACACACTCGCACACACATGGACGAACACACACGTAATGCGACGCGCGCGACACACGACTCCTACGCGCGGTGCAGTGTGCAGTTATGCATTCGCAAGGCGCTTTATTATTCAGAAATTCCTGCCGAGGCGTCTCTCTCTCTCTTTCTCTATTTCCGGCTATCGATTAGCGCGTCTCTCTTTCTTTCTCTCTAAGACGTCGTTCGTTGTCTATGTATGTAGCTCGAGTCGCTCTAAGCTGCACACGACTTCGATACGTGTGCCTCCTATCTATCTATCATTTTCAGCCAGCTCGAACTTCTCTCTTCCGTATATACTTCTGACTCGAAGTACTTAATAACATCCTGAAAACGCTCTCCGTTTCTCCACTCTGTGTATTGACTCACGGGATTTCGGTGGCCGGGTGTTTCTTTTTCCGCCTAGAGTTGCTACTGCTATACTGCTACTGCTTTACTCAGCCGGCATTCCCTGAACTATGAAGCTTCTGAATCACAAATTAACCCGCTATATTTATCAGCTACTCGTCTTGAAGCTGATATCGCGTACGCTCGTATATAGATAAACGTACGCAGAAATGTACATCGAAATACATATCTATCGGTTGCTCATCCTAACTGATAAAAATCACAATTCGGTGCGCGTATCGTCTGTGGTATAGAGCATAGATTACAAAGGGAGCCAAATCAATACGAACTTTTCCTTTTTTTTCCTCTAACGAATTATTTAAAAATGGAGAGAGAGAGAGAGAGAGAGAGAGAGCTAATTTCCGCCGCTGATGTACGCTCGACGAATATACCGAGTAAAACAGAAGCGATCATCTCTGCAAAATCGATGTCGCTGCTGCTGCTGTTGTCAGATGCGCGTTGACAAGTTTATTCGTGCCTATGGAAATGTTTGATTCTCTGACGCAAAAAAATAATATTATCACGAGTCACTGGCCATTGAATCTCCATAAACTGGATGCAGTGCACTCGGGGACGTGCGTATACATATCGACTGAGAGCCTGTACATTATCCCGGGGATTATTGAACGAGAAAAAAAAACACGTTTGGTACAAAATTTCACGAGTGAATTCGAGAAACGCAGCTGTCGTACATTTTTGTGATAATTTTCTTTTGTTCGCTCGAATAAAAATGAAAATTTTACGGGCTCGCGTTGCTAATGGACAGCTCATTCGAGAGAGCTGCACCTAAATATAATGAAATTAAAAAATAACGAATCGAAAATATCATACATCGCAATCGACGAAAAGAGAGCAGCAGCGAATTATTGGTGTTCGCGAGCTTGCGACATATATACGTTACACTTAAATACGGCGTGTGGGATGTACCGAAGCCGCGACTGCACAGCGCCGCACCGTCAAGTTCTTTGTTTTAAACGCGCACATATAATCTATAAATAAAATTTTGTTATTCGCCGCTGTCATAAGTGAAACAAACAAAATCGCAAATTCCGAAGTCATTGAAGAGGCCTTGAAATTTAAGAAATGTATAATAATACACCACACACATAATAGACATAGACAGACGTACATGTGTAAACGTTACTCTCCGCGCGAAGTTTGTGCTTTTGATCGTACGTCCGTAAACGAGCCAGCGGCACAAAGTCGCTCGCGTTGACATATATATTGAAGAGCGTATACTGAAAATTGCAGTACATATACATTGTACCAGCGGCTTTGATCGAGCTCTTCGGCTTATGTTCTCTGCTCTCGAGGTACATAATAAGTCAACTAGAGCCATGCGTACAAAGCAGCGCCGATACAAGCACGAGTTTAACTCGACTGTGCATTATCGCGTTGCCCGAAGCTAATTTCATCGCGTTAGAAGAGATACTTTGCTGGCCGTATCAATGTTATAAACCGCTGGCTCGCTAAGTGCAGGCGCTAGCGCTACAGCGTTTCTTCGAAACTTCGTTTTCAATTTCGTCCGCAGCGATCGCGACAAAAAGCTCGAGCGCGGGCCCGTGTAGAGTTCATTGTACCCTGTAGCTGCTCCCGAATTTATAAATGCGATCGATTTCCTCGGGATACGCTACTTCGTACGTATTAAAATAAAATATCTCGCGCGGAGTAACCCACACGAAGTACGTACGTGCGCGAGCGTGAAGAAAATAACT